CTGTGCTCCAGACAGCCTGAAGCATCCTCTGTGCTCCAGTCAGCCTGAAGCATCCAGGTTCAACCTAACCTGGATGTGTTTGAGTTAGCCGGTTGGCCTAATCCAAAACATACGCGCTCTCGCTAAGCGGTCCTACGACGCAGGTTATCAAGTGGATCGCTCAAGCCAGCCGTGTCCTATCTAGTTAGGCGTTCACATGAGAGGGGTGGTATCTGGAGCATTCGACCAATCACAGACATGGAGAAGCGCACTGACAGCGCAGCGTCATACTTCCTGAATGAAAAGTCTATAATATTAATATTAATATTATTATAATATTAATATTAAACATATGAAGAAGTTAAAGTTGAAACATCCATGACTTAAACACTTGATCCAGGATCAAAGCCACAGAGCTGCACCTGCAAGGTGAACACAGCTGGGAACAGAACAAGTGTTTGAATGCGTACATTAACAGCTTTATGATATCACTGCCGTCTAAGACACCATCTGACTTTCATTACATTTGACTCCAGTGTTTCCTCAACTTAATGTGTTGCTTCAAATAATGCTTCTGCATCCAGTCTGTGACGCTGTGAGTGTTGCACGGCCAGATACGGCTCAGCTGACTCAGATCAGGAGATGATACATTATGAAGTGATATGGACTGTACTTAATGTGACTCTGATCCGGTTACTTATGTTGTGGCAGATATTTCAGTAAGCTTTCTTAACACTAATGTTATAATAGTCAGATTGCTCTGAAGATGGAGCTGATATTCTATTCATGTTCACGTTCACACAGTCGCTGATTGTTGCCGGCCGTCTTTCCTGCGACGGCAGCTTTTCTGTATTTCCTTTCTCCTGTAATATGACTTGATCGCTTTAAACTCACGCACTGTGATCAGCTGTTCCACCATGGCTTCTACCTCCACCTAGAGTAGATGTATCCTCATTGAAACGGTTACATTCCATGAACAATCAAATCAATGTGCAGGCTTACGTGAACACTGTTCTACATGAACAATATGGGCAGTTTATACATTACATCAACAGTAGGTGGCGATATGCTCCAAGTGGAAGCGATCCGCCATTAAAGCAAAGAAGACGAAGAACTCCGCACAGTTGCCGCTCAGAGTAAGTTATCTAGCCCGCTAAAAAGAGAACCAGCGTCGTAGGACCGGACAGCCGGAGTTCTCCCTGAAGCTAAGAGAACATCCGGCTTCGTGGTGCAGGCCTCTGCTGTCATGTTACATGTTGTTTCTCATGTGTCTGGATGTTTGTCTGTTGATGCAACCCAGTCTCACGGCATTTCGTGTTGTCGTCAATCTATTGATTCGTGTTCACCATTTCCCCATTTGTTCCGTGTCACACAGAACGATTTGAAAAGCAATGTATTTCTATTGGTAATATGTTTCGTGCCTAACGACATTATACGATTGAAAATAAAAACAATAATCTTGATATTGAGTAAGAACATGTTTTTATGAACCACACAGCTTCCGGTCTTCCACGACCCGACCGGACAGAAAGACGCAGGCACGAAACACACTACCAATAGAAATACATTGCTTTTCAAATCGTTCTGTGTGACACGACGTGTCAACAGATGACGTGTCGTGACTATAACACGACACGCCGTGAGATTGATGTTACACATGGAGCTGCTGTGATGCAAGGAGCATTGCAGACTTGAACATCAAAGTATTATCGTATATGTGACGTGCTGACGGTGTCTCCATCAGGACGAAGGGGAGGAGGAAGAGGAAGGACCGGCGGTGGGCGGTCGCAGCATCTGTAACCCGGGTTATGAAGCGGCTCCAGAACCAGCAGAGTCCAAACCAGCAGAGAGCAGCAATGTGAGTTTCATACAGAGACCCCCCCCCCCCCGTAGAGAGGGTCGTCTCCCGAGTGATTCCAAGTGAAGCTCATTAATAAATATAACTGTCTGTCTGCAGGAGGACCAACAGGAAGTGGAGAACGGGGTTTCCTACGACCCGCTGCAGGGGTGATTTAATATTTCATCTGGTGGAGCTGTGATGCGTTCAAGTGCCCATCAGATTCAGCGAGGTTATAAAGAACTACCTGAAGAGGTTTCTTCTCTGTGTCCTGCCTCACGGGAGAGACTTGCAGAATCAGACCTGAAGTCAAATGCTCATTAAAATATGTTGAAAATGTTTGTTTGTGTTGCTTTTCCTCATTTCTCTGTAACACTAATTCACCTGATGTCTGAAGAGATGACATACCGCGAATGTGTAATACGTGAAAACTACATTCAGTTTTAACTTCACGAGACAGCAGCTGGAGAAATAAGCATTTCCTACACTGTAAAACGTTAAGTTACCATACCTTACGTTACATAACCTCATCTTACATTACCCTGTTACCTTACGTTACATAACCTCATCTTACATTACCCTGTTACCTTACGTTACATAACCTCATCTTACATTACCCTGTTACCTTACGTTACATAACCTCATCTTACATTACCCTGTTACCTTACGTTACATAACCTCATCTTACATTACCCTGTTACCTTACGTTACATAACCTCATCTTACATTACCCTGTTACCATACGTTACATAACCTCATCTTACATTACCCTGTTACCTTACGTTACATAACCTCATCTTACATTACCCTGTTACCTTACGTTACATAACCTCATCTTACATTACCCTGTTACCTTACGTTACATAACCTCATCTTACATTACCCTGTACCTTACGTTACATAACCTCATCTTACATACCCTGTTACCTACGTTACATAAACCTCATCTTACATTACCCTGTTACCATACGTTAATAACCTCATCTTACATTACCCTGTTACCTTACGTTACATAACCTCATCTTACATTACCCGTTTACCTTACGTTACATAACCTCATCTTACATTACCCTGTTACCTTACGTTACATAACCTCATCTTACATTACCCTGTTACCCTTACGTTACATACAACCTCATCTTACATTACCCTGTTACCATACGTTACATAACCTCATCTTACATTACCCTGTTACCTTACGTTACATAACCTCATCTTACACTTACCCTGTTACCTTACGTACATAACCTCATCTTACATTACCCTGTTACCTTACGTTACATAACCTCATCTTACATTACCCTGTTACCTTACGTTAATAACCTCATCTTACATTACCCTGTTACCTTACGTTACATAAACTCATCTTACATTACCTGTTACCTTACGTTACATAACCTCATCTACATTACCTGTTACCATACGTTACAAACCTCATCTTACATTACCCTGGTACCTACGTTACATAACCTCATCTTACATTACCTGTTACCTTACGTTACATAACCTCAATCTTACATTACCCTGTTACCCTTACGTTACATACCTACCTCATCTTACAATTACCCCTGTTACCTTACGTTACATAACCTCATCTTACATTACCTGTACCTACGTTACATAACCTCATCTTACATTACCCTGTTACCTTACGTTACATAACCTCATCTTACATTACCCTGTTACCTTACGTTACATAACCTCATCTTACATTACCCTGTTACCTTACGTTACATAACCTCATCTTACATTACCCTGTTACCTTACGTTACATAACCTCATCTTACATTACCCTGTACCTTACTGTTAATAACCCTCATCTTACATTACCCTGTTACCTTACGTTACATAACCTCATCTTACATTACCCTGTTACCTTACGTTAATAACCTCATCTTACATTACCCTGTTACTCTTACGTTACATAACCTCATCTTACATTACCCTGTTACCTTACAGTTAACATAACCTCATCTACTTACCCTGTACCTACGTTACATAACCTCATCTACATTACCTGTTACCTTACGTTACATAACCTCCATCTTTACATTACCCTGTTACCTTACGTCTACATAACCTCATCTTACATTACCACTGTTACCTTACGTTACATAACCTACATCTTAACACATTACCCTGTTAACCTACCGTTACATAACCTCATCTTACATTTTTTTACCCTGTTACGCTTACGTTACGATAACCTCATCTGTACATTACCCTGTTACCGTTACGTTACATTAACCTCATCTTCCATTACCCTGGCACCAATACCTTACGTTGACATTCAACCCTCATCTTAGCATTACCCTGTTACCATACGTTTACATAACCTCATCCTTACATTACCCTGTTACCTTACGTTACATAACCTAATCTTACATTTCCCCTGTTACCGCTGACGTTACACTACAGACCTCATCTTACATTACCCTGTTACACTACGTTACATTAACCTCATTCTTACATTACCCTGTTACCTTACGTTACATAACCTCATCTTACATTACCCTGTTACCTTACGTTACATAACCTCATCTTACATTACCCTGTTACCTTACGTTACATAACCTCATCTTACATTACCCTGTTACCTTACGTTACATAACCTCATCTTACATTACCCTGTTACCATACGTTACATAACCTCATCTTACATTACCCTGTTACATAACCTCATCTTACATTACCCTGTTACCTTACGTTACATAACCTCATCTTACATTACCCTGTTACCATACGTTACATAACCTCATCTTACGTTACATAACCTCATCTTACATTACCCTGTTACCATACGTTACATAACCTCATCTTACATTACCCTGTTACCTTACGTTACATAACCTCATCTTACATTACCCTGTTACCATACGTTACATAACCTCATCTTACATTACCCTGTTACCTTACGTTACATAACCTCATCTTACATTACCCTGTTACCTTACGTTACATAACCTCATCTTACATTACCCTGTTACCATACGTTACATTATCTTATGTCACATTACGATGATAACATGTTAAATGTTTGATAAGGTTGCCCCCTAATCAAAAATAAATGTTATATAACATTTAGAATTTCTTGATAAGGGGACAACCTTATCAAACTGTTTTATTATCACAACACATTTCCCCCAGGTCACGTGAATAAACTCGGAGTCGGCGCTACGGTGAAAGTATTTTTATTTCCGTCATTACTCAGAGGTCGTCCTGGGTGACCTCAGAGGTCGTCCTGGGTGACCTCAGAGGTCGTCCTGGGTGACCTCAGAGGTCGTCCTGGGTGACCTCAGAGGTCGTCCTGGGTGACCTCAGAGGTCCTGGGTGACCTCAGAGATCCAGGGATGGTAGTCTGTGATCCTGGAGAAGATGGCGGGTCGCTCTGCGTCGCAGCGCCGGCTGCCCCACGTCAACACGCCAAACAGGAAGTAGGCGCCTCGCTTCCGGCAGAACAGCGGCGCCCCACGGTCGCCCTGCGGACACAAATCTGTTAGAGGGACAGAGGACAGGAGGGACAGAGACTCTATTAGTCCTGATCAGGGGACAGGAGGGACAGAGACTCTATTAGTCCTGATCAGGGGACAGGAGGGACAGAGACTCTATTAGTCCTGATCAGAGGACAGGAGGGACAGAGACTCTATTAGTCCTGATCAGAGGACAGGAGGGACAGAGACTCTATTAGTCCTGATCAGAGGACAGGAGGGACAGAGACTCTATTAGTCCTGATCAGAGGACAGGAGGGACAGAGACTCTATTAGTCCTGATCAGGGGACAGGAGGGACAGAGACTCTATTAGTCCTGATCAGGGGACAGGAGGGACAGAGACTCTATTAGTCCTGATCAGAGGACAGGAGGGACAGAGACTCTATTAGTCCTGATAAGGGGACAGGAGGGACAGAGACTCTATTAGTCCTGATCAGAGGACAGGAGGGACAGAGACTATTAGTCCTGATCAGGGGACAGAGACTCTATTAGTCCTGATCAGAGGACAGGAGGGACAGAGACTCTGTTAGTCCTGATCAGAGGACAGGAGGGACAGAGACTCTATTAGTCCTGATCAGGGGACAGGAGGGACAGAGACTCTATTAGTCCTGATCAGAGGACAGAAGGGACAGAGACTATTAGTCCTGATCAGGGGACAGAGACTCTATTAGTCCTGATCAGAGGACAGGAGGGACAGAGACTCTATTAGTCCTGATCAGGGGACAGGAGGGACAGAGACTCTATTAGTCCTGATCAGGGGACAGGAGGGACAGAGACTCTATTAGTCCTGATCAGGGGACAGAGACTCTATTAGTCCTGATCAGGGGACAGAGACTCTATTAGTCCTGATCAGAGGACAGGAGGGACAGAGACTCTATTAGTCCTGATCAGAGGACAGGAGGGACAGAGACTCTATTAGTCCTGATCAGGGGACAGGAGGGACAGAGGACAGGAGGGACAGAGACTCTATTAGTCCTGATCAGGGGACAGGAGGGACAGAGGACAGGAGGGACAGAGACTCTATTAGTCCTGATCAGAGGACAGGAGGGACAGAGGACAGGAGGGACAGAGACTCTATTAGTCCTGATCAGGGGACAGGAGGGACAGAGACTCTATTAGTCCTGATCAGAGGACAGGAGGGACAGAGACTCTATTAGTCCTGATCAGGGGACAGGAGGGACAGAGACTCTATTAGTCCTGATCAGGGGACAGGAGGGACAGAGACTCTATTAGTCCTGATCAGAGGACAGGAGGGACAGAGACTCTATTAGTCCTGATCAGAGGACAGGAGGGACAGAGACTCTATTAGTCCTGATCAGAGGACAGGAGGGACAGAGGACAGGAGGGACAGAGACTCTATTAGTCCTGATCAGGGGACAGGAGGGACAGAGACTCTATTAGTCCTGATCAGGGGACAGGAGGGACAGAGACTCTATTAGTCCTGATCAGGGGACAGGAGGGACAGAGACTCTATTAGTCCTGATCAGGGGACAGGAGGGACAGAGACTCTATTAGTCCTGATCAGGGGACAGGAGGGACAGAGACTCTATTAGTCCTGATCAGGGGACAGGAGGGACAGAGACTATTAGTCCTGATCAGAGGACAGGAGGGACAGAGACTCTAATAGTCCAGATCAGGGGACAGGAGGGACAGAGACTCTAATAGTCCAGATCAGGGGACAGGAGGGAATGGGTTAGTGTTGGGGGGGTGGTTACCATGCAGGAGGCGGAGCCGGCAGGATGGGCACAGATATGAGAGTCCGTGACGAGGTCCCCCCCCCACTGCTGCCGGCAGGAGGTCAGGTTCACCAGAGTCAGGCTGGCCTGGTGCTGCCGTTCCAGATCCACCGCCGCTGCACAGGAAACACATCGTTAAACCACTTCCTGTCGGGCTGCACAGGAAACACATCGTTAAACCACTTCCTGTCGGGCTGCACAGGAAACACATCGTTAAACCACTTCCTGTCGGGCTGCACAGGAAACACATCGTTAAACCACTTCCTGTCGGGACTTTAAGGTCATGTCTGAAGAGATTGCGTAATATCAAATCAGAGAAACTAAAAATGTGTAATGCGGGAAAACCACGTTCAGTTATTCCAGAGGTTCTCAAACTTGTCCCGTCACTCCCCACTTTGAACAGGGGGTCCTTTTCAAGCTCCCCTGTTCCTCATCGCTCCAATCAAATGGTAGGCCAAGCTTACAATGGTCAAATGTATCGTTCTAAACCCGGGGTCTCCAACCGTCTTTAGGGTGAGAGCTCCGTCGAGCTACTTTTACTCCTCTTTCTTTGTTTTTGCAGTGTAGATGTTTAGCACATTTTAACACGATGATATGCTGACCTTCAACCTTTGTGTGCCGTTTGGGTCTGTGGGACCCCTTTGGGTCTGTGGGACCCCTTTGCAGGGTTTACTAAAAGAACATGTATTCAATGTCATTATTTTAACCTGCTTTATTTGGAGGTGGTCCTCACCTCCTCTAGGGGGGACCTCACCTCCTCTAGGGGGGACCTCACCTCCTCTAGGGGGGTCCTCACCTCCTCTAAGGGGGACCTCACCTCCTCTAGGGGGGACCTCACCTCCTCTACGGGGGACCTCACCTCCTCTAAGGGGGACCTCACCTCCTCTAGGGGGTCCTCACATCCTCCAAGGGGGTCCTCACCTCCTCTAAGGGGGACCTCACCTCCTCTAAGGGGGACCTCACCTCCTCTAGGGGGGACCTCACCTCCTCTAGGGGGTCCTCACATCCTCCCAAGGGGGTCCTCACCTCCTCTAAGGGGGACCTCACCTCCTCTAGGGGGGACCTAACCTCCTCTAGGGGGGACCTAACCTCCTCTAGGGGGTCCTCACATCCTCCAAGGGGGACCTCACCTCCTCTAGGGGGGACCTCACCTCCTCTAGGGGTTCCGGGGGCATGCATCAATCTGGTGCACTTTGAGCACCAGATGAATGTATGGATACAGCTCTCAACACTCAGATGAAAGGGAGCCGTATACTTTTCAATAATCCAATCATCTTTAGAATTTGATCACAACCAATAACAAATCATTTAATGGTTTGTTCTTATGTTACCTAGTTACCATTCTTTCTTTTTATTTATGCATATTTTATGAATCACTTTTAAACTGTTTGGTTTCCTGTCCTGTACACACTGGAATCATTTCTTACTTTATTTATTCTTTTTTTTACAACTTCTCTCGAGAGAGATTCGGCACTTTTCCCGGTGGGCCGCTGGCTCTGGCACAGGCGGGCCGTGGACTTTCACAGCGCCGCTGCGCCGGTACTGTGAAAGTCTACCACCGTTGCGAGTCTGCGGCTGTAACAGTCCTCTACCGCCCGCGAGGACCCAGGTTCGATTCCGGCCTGAGGTCCAAAGAATGTATTTTTTAAATAATAATCTCCCGTTCATCGCGTCCATTGGCGACCCACCTATCACATCTCTGCGCTCCACCAGTGGGGCGCGCCCCACACTTTGAGAAACGCGGAGTTATTCTAACATCAAAGCAGGCTGGCGAATTTAACATTTCCTAAACTGTAACACGTTATCTTACATTACATAATGTTACCATACATTACATAATAGAGATGTCCCGATCTGATCACGTGATCGGGGATCGGAGCCGATCACGTGATTTTCAAAAGATCGGAAGAAAAAAAATCGGGGATCGGGATTTATTTAATGTTACAAAACAAAAATGACCATGTTCACGTCTTAAAGTCATCCTGAGGACTTAGTTTTGGTTTAAAATCACACAACATGTATGTGTTGCTTCTTTCTCTCAAAGCAACAGAGTGGGCGCAGTGTCTAATAGTAGCAGCTAGCGAGAGGCTACGTTCAGCTGGTGACTCGGGAGTCGGGACAGAAAAAATGTCAGGAGTTTGGAAGTATTATAAAATTGAAAGCGAAGGCAGTGTAACAGCCAGATGCAATGTTTGCAAGGCGGAAGTTCCGCGTGGTGGAAAGAACAGAGCTACGTTCAACACGACCAATCTAATACGCCACCTGAGAAACAAACACCAACACGACGAGTACACAGCGGCCACTCAGGTAACGACACTGAAACAACCGACACTTTCAGAGGCTTTTAAAAGGAAAGAGAAACTGCCCCAGAACATTGAAAAGGCCAAACACACAACAGCCAAGATAGCTGAATTCATCGCGTTGGATGACCAGCCGTTATCTGTTACCTTTTGTTTCTCTTAATGCATTGCATAAAGATCGGATCGGGAAAAATCGGTATCGGCAGATTGTCAAAATCAAATGATCGGAATCGGAAGCGGAGCAAAAAAAGGTGATCGGGACATCCCTATTACATAATATTCACACTTCCTGTTTGGGACTTTAAAGGCCCTGACACACCAGGCCGATTTCGGCTGTTTTCGTAAGTCGGGAGACGAAGCGTGTCCTGTCGCCCAAACTCAATTTGGTGTGTCCCGCACCGTCGACCGTGACATGCCTTATTTGGACTGCCTGTCCCGATGCATGGCCGATTCAACATGTTGAATCGGCCATGCATCGGGTCTGGCAGTCGGACCAAGCAATCACTCTGATTGGCTGTTCAGCTAGCGAATCAGTGCATGAGAAGCGAAACGGAAGTGAGGGACGTAAACAAACGATTTAAGAAGGCACACACAGACTGATATTCATTTTCATCTCATCATGGCGATCTGGAATGACGGAAACGAAGACCTGCTCATGACCTTGATCCAGGAGAGGCCAGCTCTGTACGACATCACAGAGAAAAGGTACTCGAACCGAGTAGTGAAAACCGGACTCTGGCGAGAGATTGAAACGCAACTTGGTTTCTCAGGTAAGATTATCTTTTTCATCAATTGAGCTCTTTAGCAGATACTGTTGGCTTTGTATTGTTTGCCAGCGTACAGTGGCGTTAACGTGAAATGTAATTTGTTATTTCAACCTTGTGTTTTGTTGTTATCTTGTTGCTAGCTGTTGCTAGCTGTGCAGTTTGGCACTGCATATAGATATGAATTGGACATGCTAACTAGCCACAATGCTTACATCGTTTATGTGTGTGCTTCAGAGAAAGAGCTGAGGAAGAAGTGGATTCTCTGCAAACCCAGTACACCCGGTACAGGAGACTTGCCCCTTCGGGTAGTTGTGGAGCACCAAAGACGGGCAGACAGCAGACTTGCCCCTTCGGGTAGTTGTGGACCAAAGACGGGCAGACAGCAGACTTGCCCCTTCGGGTAGTTGTGGACCAAAGACGGGCAGACAGCAGACTTGCCCCTTCGGGTAGCTGTGGACCAAAGACGGGCAGACAGCAGTGGATCATAACCAGGCTGCAGTTTGCACACGCCATTTGTTGTTGTTTATATCACGCAGTCTGTTCTTCTTCTCTGTCTTCCGGTTGTTGCCTATTTTTAATGACGAATACACACTACCGCCGCCTGCTGGTAAGGAGAGTTATTGCCACTCATGCACTGAAGTCTTTGCGGTGTGTTCCCGTGCGACACATGGCCAAGACGCAGGAGAACACCGCGACGCAACAGCCGACGCCGGCGAGTCCTCTGGTGACTGCTTGGTGTGTCAGGGCCTTAAGGATTGAAGGTACCTGAAGCCTTGGTGGCCCCCCAGCCGGTGGTGACACAGGACCAGCTGCTGTCTAGGTCCTCGTCCTCGTCCGGGAGACAGACCGGAGACACCTCAGAGCCTGGGGACCAGATGGGGGGAGGGTTCAGTCTGATATGGAGACCCTTAACACTAGAACCTCTAAATCATAGACCCCTTGGCAGCTCTAGTCTTAAATAAGGTCAAAGCTGCCTCAGTGAATGTAGTTCTGACTCTGGAGATGAGGAGTAACCCTGACCCTGAAGACACACCTCTGGGCCCAATCCATCCAGTGCCTTGTATGTTGAACGTATGATTTTGAAGTGGCTGTGTGTGACAGGAAGCCAGTGCAGATCTTTGAGAACTGGAGTGATGTGGTGAACTCTCCTGGTTCTGGTGAGGACTAAATGAAGTGTTTCTGGGTTGAGTTCTGGTGAGGACTAAATGAAGTGTTTCTGGGTTGAGTTCTGGTGAGGACTAAATGAAGTGTTTCTGGGTTGAGTTCTGGGGAGGACTAAATGAAGTGTTTCTGGGTTGAGTTCTGGTGAGGACTAAGTGAAGTGTTTCTGGGTTGAGTTCTGGTGAGGACTAAATGAAGTGTTTCTGGGTTGAGTTCTGGTGAGGACTAAATGAAGTGTTTCTGGGTTGAGTTCTGGTGAGGACTAAATGAAGTGTTTCTGGGTTGAGTTCGGGGAGGACTAAATGAAGTGTTTCTGGGTTGAGTTCTGGTGAGACAAATGAAGTGTTTCTGGGTTGAGTTCTGGTGAGGACTAATGAAGTGTTTCTGGGTTGAGTTCTGGTGAGGAGAAATGAAGTGTTTCTGGGTTGAGTTCTGTGAGGATTAAATGAAGTGTTTCTGGGTTGAGTTCTGGTGAGGACTAAATGAAGTGTTTCTGGGTTGAGTTCTGGTGAGGACTAAATGAAGTGTTTCTGGGTTGAGTTCTGGTGAGGACTAAATGAAGTGTTTCTGGGTTGAGTTCTGGTGAGGACTAAATGAAGTGTTTCTGGGTTGAGTTCTGGTGAGGACTAATGAAGTGTTTCTGGGTTGAGTTCTGGTGAGGACTAAATGAAGTGTTTCTGGGTTGAGTTCTGGTGAGGACTAAATGAAGTGTTTCTGGGTTGAGTTCTGGTGAGGACTAAATGAAGTGTTTCTGGGTTGTGTTTCTGGTGAGGACTAAATGAAGTGTTTCTGGGTTGAGTTCTGGTGAGGACTAAATGAAGTGTTTCTGGGTTGAGTTCTGGTGAGGACTAAATGAAGTGTTTCTGGGTTGAGTTCTGGGGAGGACTAAATGAAGTGTTTCTGGGTTGAGTTCTGGTGAGGACTAAATGAAGTGTTTCTGGGTTGTGTTTCTGGTGAGGACTAAATGAAGTGTTTCTGGGTTGAGTTCTGGTGAGGACTAAATGAAGTGTTTCTGGGTTGTGTTTCTGGTGAGGATTAAATGAAGTGTTTCTGGTTGAGTTCTGGGAGGACTAAATGAAGTGTTTCTTGGTTGAGTTCTGGTGAGGACTAAATGAAGTGTTTCTGGGTTGAGTTCTGGTGAGACTAAATGAAGTGTTTCTGGGTTGAGTT